ATAATAATAACACCCCCCCAAAAAAATAAAATAAAACCTTAGGCTCCGTCCAAAAAACTTTCAGAGAAAGAAGGAAAACAAACCAACTAACCCCGACTTTTACCTTCTCTTGTATTTTCTTGCATTTTTATGCCGCCTTTCTCCCCCAAAAGGGATAGAAACACATAAAACACATTTTTTAATGGTTAGAAATAATGTTGTTGTTTTTTCCCTTCCCAAAAGGAAACATAAACATAAACACAGAGACTCCGGTCTTTTCTTTCTTCATAAAGGAAAAGGAAAGGCGGCGGGCATTGGGTTCCCACAGAAAGCGGAGTACACGCATCCCAGGGTTCGTGTGAACGGGATAAAAGGGGGGTGTACACGGGTCTCACCTCTTGCCGGGCAAGGGGAGAGGAAGGCCGGTGGGTAGGTGGTCGCCTGTAGCCCCTCGAAGGAAGGAAGGAGGAATCCGGCTTCACTGCAGCGCTGCCTCCCCTCCTGCTCCTAGAGCTCCTTCTCCTTCGCTGCCCAGGAGCCGACTGGAGCCAGACTCGCCACACATGGTCAGCGCCCAGCCTGGGACCGTACCATTCTCGGACGGAGGGGGGTTCTGCGGACACCCGCACCCCGACTCCTGCAACCCTACGGGGGGCGGACAGAGCGTCCGGAGAGGAACCCCCTCTGTTCCTCCAAAAGAGATCCCTGGAGCCCGAAGAGCCCAACCCAGCGCTCGGCGGGGGTGGTGGGGAGCAACCAAGGTCCTCGCTCCCCCCCCCTCTGTGTCTCTTCCTTGGTATGGTCCCCTTCCCAAGCATCATCCAGGGGAGGATGGAAGCAGCATCCCCAACCTCTCTGCTATTCATTCATTCATTCCTTGTAAGTTTATTGGCATGCCGCCTTTCTCCCAGGCTAGGACCCAAGGCGGCTTCCGCAAGAATAACAGGTTATTAGACCTTCGGAGAAGCCAGTGCCCCTCTTGAAAGCCACTCTCCTTTTTTCATTGACCTTAAAAAGAAAGGGGACAGTGCTGTGCTTGTTCATAGGGAAACCATACTTGCCCATGGAGGAGAATCCTTGCCCATAGGGAAACGTTGGAGATGTTGCCTCTTTCCCTATAGGCAAGGATTCCCCTATGTATCCCTATGGACAAGGATTCTCCAATGAG